TGTGTGAATGTGTGAATGTGTGAATGTGTAAATGTGTGAATGAGGACACAGATTGTAGTGTGAAGAGCTTTAAGTGTCCTGGATGGGTAGAAAGGTGCTGTATAAATACGGTCCATTTAGCTTTTCATTTTAACGCCACAGTTCATGACGGGAGCAGAACTCACCACAGAGTTGATGCAGACAGAGTTGGAGACGCAGGCGTCAGGAAGGTCGATGCACTCGTCAACATCCACACATTCCTGCAGAAACACATTCACAGCTTTAATCACTCAAATTATCTTGTTTTATAACTGAAGGAACTTTTACACATTTTTAAGAATATTTAATTGAATTCATGTTGTTTTGATCACAGAACTGTTTTCATGTGCTTTATGATTTTACATCATGTTGCTGTTCTTCTTATTTATAGATCTGTTCAGAACTTTGTTCTTTAAATTAAACTCAAACAGATTTAATCATCACTTCAATCCGGGTCACTTCTGTTACAAACAGATTTATGATGAACAGAAACAAAACCAGAACTCTGAAGTTGAAGCAATAAAGAATGATCGACTCCTATTGGCTGTTTCCATACAGTTTATAAGCCCCGCCCCTTTACGTGAATAAACAGGAAGTTTTCCTGAATTAAAAAACCATTTCAGTTTTGATTTTGAGCCTCAGGAAAAGACGAAGACACTTTGTCCATTTTCCTTCATGTCCCCGGCGTGTCTACCTGTTTGTTGGACTTGGCGTAGTCCAGTCCAGATCCAGCGAGCGGCGCCCCCCACAGACCAGGAGGACAGGGTTTACAGCTGAAGCCCCCCATGGTGTTGAGACAGGCTTCAGGAGAGTAGCAGGGCTGCAGCTCACACTGAGGACACACACAGCACCGTTACAGGACATGGTGGACCGTCTCATGCTTCATGTCCTCCAGACATTACCTCGTCAATGTCCATGCAGTGTGTCCCGTTCCCGCTGGTTCCAGGTGGACACGGTCCACAGGTGTACCCCGGGTACTGCAGACTGTCCATGCAGGACACACCTTTGTAGCACGGGTTGGGGGAGCAGCGGGAACGCGGCTCGTGGAAACCTGAAGACAGACAGAGGGACAGAGGGACAGAGACAAAGACAGAGACAGACTTCTATCAGGTCCTCAGATCTGACGTCCTGCGATGAGGACAGTCAGGTCCTGACTCACCACAAACCTGACACTCCAGGATGGTGTTCCTGATCAGAGACATCTCCTTCACCTGAGGACAGACAGAGACAATGTCCTCAGGAAAGATACCGCTGTCTCACCTGTCTTCCTGTCCCTCGTGTCTTCCTGTCCCACATCTTCCTGTCCCACCTGTCTTCCTGTCCCACATCTTCCTGTCTCACCTGTCTTCCTATCCCACCTGTTCTCTGATGTCCTGTCCCTCGTGCCTTTCTGTCTCACCTGTCCTCCTGTCCCACCTATCTTCCTGTCCCACCTGTCTTCCTGTCCCACCTGTCCTCCTGTCCCTCGTGTCTTCCTGTCTCACCTGTCCTCCTGTCCCACCTGTCTTCCTGTCTCACCTGTCCTCCTGTCCCACCTGTCTTCCTGTCTCACCTGTCCTCCTGTCCCACCTGTCTTCCTGTCTCACCTGTCCTCCTGTCCCACCTGTCTTCCTGTC